CCCTGGCTCAAAAAAACACTAATAACAATCCCCTCCCCAAAAATGGTCAGGCATCTATTTCTTCATAGCTTTAAGAAGCATAAGCTTTCTAGAACATTCATTTCCATCAGCAGTACACAATGGTGCCATTTCCCTAAATAATAGCTTGTCAGTGTGTCACAGAGTTCATGTTCTGGCACTCTTTGACAGAGCAATCTATGACCAAGAAGTCCCATGGAAAGTCCCATATTTGCATACAAATATTTAGTTCTAAAGGAGTTCAATGAGACATTGCTTATTGTGTTAAAAAAAATGGGAAAAAAAGTGTCCCACAGGATGTTGCAAGCAGACGAAGCACTTAAAATGGGATTGGAGAGATGGCTCAGTGGTTAAAAGCATGCACTGCTTTGGCCAAGGACCCAAACTAGATTTTCAACCACCTGTGACACCAGCTCCTGGACCATCCCAAGACCTCTGACCTCCGCAGGTGCCAGCATTCGTACACACACACACACACACACACACACACACACACACACACACACACAAACACACACACACTGACCTACATACATATACATAATTAAAAATAAAAATCTGAAAATAAGGCTTATGTTTACATGTTTGCAAATATATTAATAGAAGGGAAGAGCCACACACAAAGTTAAGTGTGTGTGACACCATTGACAGAGAAATGTGGCAAAAGGATGTTCTTTTAAAAAGTTTTGGATTTATTTACTTTAGTTTATGTGCATGAGTGTTTTGCTTGCGTATATGTACGCATGTGCCTTGTGCCTATGAAGGTCAGAAGAAGGCGACATTAGATTTCCTGGAACTGGAATTACAGGCAATTGTGAGCTACTGTGTGAGTGCCGGGAACACAACCAGGTTCTCTCCAAGAGCAGCAAGCGCTCTTAACTGCTGGTCCATCTCTCTAGTCCCTCTTCCGTTTTGAAAAAGGGTCACAGATTCCTGATCCTCTTGTCCACACCTCCCAGGTGTGTGCACCCACACCCAGCTCAGACAGGTTAACAAGCTCAGGAGGATTTCCTTCCCAAAGAGCAAGGTTTGCTGGGGAATTTTTCTCTCCAGTGTTCATATTTTAAAATATGAGCTCACATATATTTCATAAAAAGAAAAAAAAAAGAGTTGTATTTTAAAACCTTAGATTTCTAAGACAAATTTTGAAACTCACACAGACACAGTCTCCCCTGTACAGGCAACTTCTGCAGGGACTAGACCCATCTGCGTTCCCTGGAGAGTCACGGACTTTCCTACTTAGAGAGGTCAGAGGGCATGGGGCTGGTTTTAGTCTGGTGTATACATACAAATTGTGGCTTAGAAGAAATAGAACTTTTTAAAGAAGATTCTATTTGTGTGTGTGCATGTGTGCGCGTGCGTGTGTGCATGTGTGTGTGTGCGTGTGCGTGTGCCATATGTGTGTACAGTACCCGAGAAGACCAGAAGTGGGTGTCAGGGTCTCTGTGTAGGTCTGGAAACCAAACTTAGGGTGGACCCATTTCTCCAGCCCTTGAACAGTTTTTTTTTTTTTAAACTGGTAAATGTTCTCAGCTCAGAAGCCTAAATAATAATGAAGTTTCTGAAGACAACAAAAACATATCTACCCAGCCTTATGCACCCACAAAGCAGTAAGAAAGTAAAATGGGAGAATGTTGAAAGGATAAACTCTCCAAAGTGTCTGGGGAAAGCTAAGTTATACCAGGAGTAGTCTGAATACTATTGCAGAAACCTTTACATTTTTAAAAACATACCCCAAGACTCTCAAACACTGGCTTCTATTTCAACACAGATTTCATTTTTGCATTTAAGGAACTGAAGCCCAAGATTAAGGAAGCTGAGGCAGGGGGATCACCAGTTCTAATCTAGCTTGGCATAGACAATGAGATTTTGTCTCAAAGATGAAACAAATAGAACTCATTAAGGAAGCTACCAAGAATGACTCACACTTATAATCTTGGTGTTTAGGAGACTGAGTCAGGAGGATTGCCACAAGTTCAAGTCTAACCTGGGCTACAGAATGAGACACTATCTCATAAAAGTTGTTTGTTTTAAAACCAAGCAAGTTCACATATACTCTTCCATTTTAAAACCATGTTAATTCTCAAGATGTTGTGAATAACCTTAAATTAAGTATGTTGGGGTGATGAATCTACTCTTCCCTACTAATCAAATGGCCTCTGCCATCTTTGTGATTCCCATTCACTTCCCTCCACACCTCTGTTTCAAGCCTTAGTTGAGAATGTATCGCATACTTGTTTTCCCTTCACAGGAACAAAGAAGGCAGACAGTGTAGACCAAGGCTGTGGAAGCCACATTGGTCGTTGTCACAAACACCGCTTTCCCTCCTGCCAGCCAGCGTTCTGGTACTGTCACAAAACACCTGAGGTCATCAACACACAAAGAAGGGAGGTTTATGTTGACTTGTGTTTTCAGAGGTTTCGGTCCATGATTGGTTGGCTCTCACACTTTGGGGCCTGTGGTGAGGAGCACGTCATGGTGGGAGTGTGGTTCAGCCAAGTTCTCACTTCATGACCAGAACACCAAAAAGGGAGGAAGAGGAGGGGGCCAGGGGCCAGCACCTCCACCAAGGTCATGTGCTGTGGGATGTTCTGTATGGCAAGTGTGTTGCTGATTGGTCAGTAAATAAATCACTGATTGGCCAGTGGCCAGGCAGGAAGTATAGGTGGGACAAGGAGGAGAATAGAGCTGGGAAGTGGAAGGCTGAGTCAGAGAGACACTGCCAGCCGCCATGATGACAAACAGCATGTGAAGATGCCGGTAAGCCATGAGCCATGTGGCAAGGTATAGATTAATGGAAATGGATTAATTTAAGCTGTAAGAACACTTAGCAAGAAGCCTGCCATGGCCATACAGTTTGTAACCAATATAAGTCTCTGTGTTTACTTGGTCGGGTTTGAGTGGCTGTGGGACTGGCGGGTGTCAGAGATTTGTCCTGACTGTGGGCCAGGCAGGAAAACTCTAGCTACAGTCATGCCTTTGATGCCTGGAGGACTTTTCACTAGGCTTGTCTACCTCCTACGAGCACCAAGTTGGGGAGGCTATGGGAGGACATTTGAGAGCCAGACTGTAGTGACGTCTAACACCAGGTGGCTTCATGACAGTGATGGTAACCAGGTCCCCTGGGTGCTAACACTAGATACTGTCCATGAGGGGTGTCAGCTGATGATCACACTGGCCCATGTGCCAGTGCATTGTTGTCCAGGTAGGGAAACTGAGGCTTTGGAAGGACAGGGGCCAACCTGACGCTGTACTCTTAGAGACTACTGTGTTTCCCTGCTGCTGAAATCGTGTGGAATCTTAACCGTGGCAGACGCACCAGTCTGTGATTGTAGCCGTGGTCAGTGTTCTGTTGTTATTAAAGAGCAGAAACCAAGGAACTAGTAAAGAATAGGAGTTTATTTAGCTCAAAGTTGCGAGGGCTGAGAAATCCAAGAGTGTGGCCCTGGCTTCCCATCAGCATCCGAGTGCTTGCATTTGTCACAGCACAGGGCATCACAAGAGGAGGCAGAGCCGGCAGCCTGCTTCAAGTCTTCTGTTATTTTTTATGTGTATATGTGTGTGCCTGTGTGTATGCAGGGGCACATGTACATGTGTGTGTGAGAATGCACATGTGTGCATGTGTGTGTATGGGCCAGAGGTCAACCTATCTAGCTTGTTTCTTCAGACGGGTGTCTCCCAGGCCTGGAGCTCACTAAGCGAGTGAGGCTGGCTGGCCAGTGAGCACCAGAGACTCACCTGTCCCCTCCTCCCAGTGTTTGCATGGTTCACCCTTGGAGGACAGAAGACGACACCAGATTCCCCTGGGTTTACAGGCAGCTGTGAGCTGTTCCGAGTGGGTGCTGGGAACAACCCAGATCCCCTGGAAGAGCAGCAGGTGCTCTTAAGTGCTGAGCCATCTCAGCCCCCAACACATGAACCTCTGTGGGGAAACACCAAAACAGAGTAGCTAATCCTTCCCTGCTAATGATGGTGTGATCTTGTGCTTGCTGTTCACTCTTCCATCTGTTATCAGTTGCTCACTGGGGTCCTAAGGTGGGCCTGTAGATGAATTGCTAAACGGTCTTATTAATAAAAACCCAGAGCCAGATATTGGAGTTAAAACCAAGAGATCAGAAAAGCAGAAAGAAGTCAGCCACGTTCTCACCACTTGGAGATCCTCAGTCTCCAAAGAGAGCTACTTCCTGTCTACCCATGCCTATATGCCTTTCTGTTCTGCCATCTCATTTCCTTTCTCCACCCAGCTACATAACTTCCTCTTCCTGCCCAGCTCTATCACTTCCTGTCTGTCTGTACAGACCTCCAGACCTTTATGGTTAGTGCTGGGATTAAAGGTATGTACCACCATGCCTGGCTCAGTTCCCAGTGTGGCTTTGAACTCACAGAGATCCAGACGGATCTCTGCCTTCCAAGTGATAGGATTAAAGGCGTGTGCTGCCATTGCCTGACCTCTACCTTCACTATAGTGGCTGGCTCTGTCCTCTGACCCTCAGATAAACTTTATTGGGGGACACAGATAACATATCACCCTAGTGTGCCAGACAGTGGGAATTAGACGATGAACAAAGTAGACATTTTCCCACATGGAGCTTGAGGTTGTGTAGAAAAAAGTCTTAAACCAGGAAACATTTTCAAAGCGCAGTGGTCATGAAGTAAGAGCCTCATTCAGGGCTCTGTGTCCATGGCCAATTACAGATGCACAAAGCCCAGGGCAAGGCAAAAACATCCAGGGGCTTTGACAAAGACGACATCAGAATTTCAAAGTGGTGATGGCAGGTCCTTAGGCCAAGCTCAGGGCTTCCTGAAGGCTAATGGCCAAGCTGGTGCAGAGCATCTTGGGAGATTCCATGAGCTAGATTAGCAGAGAAGCAGTCTGTTTGACTGGAAGTTCAGCTCAGTGCATCTATGTATAGCAAGTGCTAACAGCTGTGCGGAGACCAGTGGAGACCAGCCTGACGCTCTCACTGCCCCTTCCCTTCCAGACTGCCTGTCCTACACAGCTTTACAAGTCCTGTCCAGGAGGTGCTACGGGAAGCAGAGATGTAAGGTCCTCGTTGATAATTACCACTTCGGAAGCCCCTGTCTTCCAGGGGTGAGAAAATACCTCACTGTTGCCTACGCATGTGGTAAGAATAAACCCTCAACCGGCTCCATGAGCACATGCCTGTTAGGGAAACGGTTGCCCTATGCAAACAGGAGTGTGTGTGACACTTGAGTTGCACACAGTAGGCAGTGCGTGACCAATAAGCACAACCGAAAGATGGAAGAATGGAGAGAGGTTTACTTCCTGCAGCAAGTAAGGAGTACTTAACTAGAGTCATTCCAGCTTGCACGTCTTGGAAAACACGTCGGGGGCAGTCCACAGTACTGAGCATGCTCAGTTAGAGTTCACAGTGCAAGCAGGAAAGATAGCTGAAACATTCCTGAGTTTAGCTCAGAATCCTGGGGTAGACATTTTAAAAGGTGAAAGTGGTGGACGAAGACTCCTCGGGCGTTCGTGTCATGAAGGTGGCAGACAGGAAGCGGGCATAGCAGGGCACACCTGCAACCCCAGCTTTCAGGAGGCTGAGGCGGGCAGAAGGAGTGCTGGGAATTCAAGGGCTGGCCTGGGCTCCATAGAAGTCCCTATCTCAAAACAACAGCAATATTGATAATGACAGACAGGAATACTTTTGGTTGTCCACAACATCTCTTTCCCAGAATGGTTTTAGCTGAAATCAAAGGAACAGACACTTTTTAGAGTCCATTAACATAGGTGCTCGCCACTAAGGGCGCCACCCCCCACTTGGCTGCTGACAGAACCCCACGACTCAGCTGGTTACTGCTGAGTCGCCTCATACACCCCAGACCTTTTCTCTCATTTATCCTTGTTCATGGCATTCACATCAGATAAGCGGTAGGATTTTCTCTGGCTAAAATGGTTTCAGGAGCACATCAGGTAATCAGATTGGCAGTGGATGGGGTGAGTAGGGATAGAACGAGCAACCGGGGACACAGTTGAGGTCGCTGAGAACGAACCATTTCTGTCTCGGTTCTTAGGAAGCCCTGAAATGTACTGGTGGTGTGTGAGTTCACACAAGTATTGTTCGGCTTCCAGTGCCATCTGGAGCCCCTAAATGACTGGGCCCCTAGGCTGCCAGCAGCTGTTTTATCTGCACGCCCTCAGCATGGATGCAATGCAGCACAGGCTTCCACAGGCTTCTTACAGCAGCCCGTGTGCTGTTCTGGGGTCTTCAGAAGGAAGGGAATTCCCTGCTCTATTTGGATTCTGTCTTCAGGCAGCTGTTAAATAGCGAGTCAGCAGCTGTTTTGGGGGTACTGTGGTGGTCCCATCTATAATCTTGATATATTGGTTGTTCTGAAATGAGCATCAGCGGCCGATTTCAGGATACTGTGGTGGTCCCATCCGTAATCTGGACACATTGGTTGTTGTTCTGAAATGAGCATGGAGGTGAAAGGAAATGGGGAATCCCAACAATGAAGAACTTGATACCTCCTGCGAAGAATATCGTTCATTAGGCTTTGGTTATTGAAACAGCTTTATTGAGATATGATTGCAGAGTGCCTGGTCAAACACACAGTCTATGGTTTTTAGACTATCCATGGAATTATGCACCCATTCCCATTGGCAGTTTAAGAACATCGTCATCACCCTAATCCATTCGGAACCAGTTTGAAGAACCTTTGTTTTTTTTTTTTTTTTTTTTCTCTTTTTTTTTTTTTAATTTATTTTAATTTATTTTGCAATACAATTCAGTTCTACATATCGGTCACGGATTCCCTTGTTCTCCCCCCTCCCGTCCCCCTCACCTTCCCCCCAACGCCCCCCCCCCCATTCCCATCTCCTCCAGGGCAAAGCCTTCCCCACAGACTGAGGTCAACCTGGTAGACTCAGTCCAGGTAGGTCTAGTCCCCTCCTCCCAGGCCGAGCCAAACAATCCTGCATAGGCCCCAGGTTTCAAACAGCCAACTCATGCAATGAGCACAAGATCTGGTCCCACTGCCTGGATGCCTCCCAAACAGATCAAGCCAATCAACTGTCTCACCCATTCGGGGGGCCTGATCCAGTGTGGACCCCTCAGCCATTGGTTCATAGTTCATGTGTTTCCATTCATTTGGCTATTTGTCCCTGTGCTTTATCCAACCTTGGTCTCAACAATTCTCGCTCATATAAACCCTCCTCATTCTCGTTAATTGGACTCCCAGAGATCCACCCAGGGCCTAGTCATGGATCTCTGCATCCAGAAAGACAAACATGGTATGTACTCACTCATAGCAGGATACTAGACATGAAACAAGGATGAATTGTCTGCTACTCACATCACCAGGGAGGCTACCCGGAAAACAGGACCCCAAGAAAGACACAGGGATCGCCCAATGACAGAGAAATGGAATGAGATCTACATGAACAGCCTGGACATGAGTGGGGGTAATGAAAGGCGAGGGTCGAGGGAAAGAGAGCTTGGGGGAGCGGGAGATCCCAGCTGGATCAACAACAGAGAGGGAGAACAAGGAATAGGAGACCATGGTAAATAAAGACCACATGAGAACAGGAAGAAGCAAAGTGCTAGAGAGGCCCACAGAAATCCACAAAGATACCCACACAACAGACTGCCGGCAATGGTCGAGAGACAGCCCGAACTGACCTACTCTGGTGATGGGATGGCCAAACACCCTAATTGTTGTGCTAGAAACCTCATCCAACTACTGAGGGATCTGGATGAAGAACCTTTGTAAAAACAGGGTCTCATGGAGTCCAGGGTGGCCTTAAAGTTACTATACAGTCAGAGCTGACTGAAGTTTTGATCCTCCTGTCTGCCTCCCAGGTGCTAGAATTACAGGCATGTACCATGTTCACATACTCAGCAGGCAGGCTTCCTAGGTAACCTATGTTTCACAGCTACATGGTCTGTTGGTTATTAACAAAGCTCATTCCAGAATATCCTTCTTCTCTGAGCTTCTCTCTACAATTTTGAATCTATACGGCCTCTGCTATTCCCAGAGAGTCAGAAGCCTTGTCTCATCACATTTTGAGACTAAGCCAAGAGACAGACCTGAGAAAGCAAGGCCACTTCTGGCAGGGAAAGACAAGACATCTAGGGTTTTACTGCTGCCAGGGAATCAGGGAGCGTGTTCTTTGAGCCCAGAATGAGCAAGAGGTTCTTGAACTAGATAGCATGTGTTCTGGTGCTACTGTGTTCCTAGGTTTAGTGCCGTGTCCTGTAGCCGGCCAAGAGTGTCTCTCATGCACCTCTGGTGGGTCTCCGGAAAGCCGCCCTCATCCTTGACAGGCACAAAGGCGCCAGGGTCTCCTGGACTGGGAGGTTCACGGCTTGGGGCTGTTCTCTGCATGTTGGTCCTGGGATGTCTCCAGAAGGATCTAGTTAAGCCCTCGGAGAAGGAAGTGAGGTTTTCTTGTAGCTGGAGATGACTTACAGGGTCTGTGTGAAAGCCATTCTGCGGATCTCGCCTCGTTTGTGTTGGCTTCATTTCTACTTCCTGTTGCCACTTCCCAGATATCATCTGGGCTGAGGCAAAAATGAAAATAAGCAATTTTCTGCAGCTAGAATACTTGGCATCCTCTCCCTTCTCCCAGTTGGCAGCAGTGTGTTTCACCTTTATAACTCTCTCTCTCTCTCTCTCTCTCTCTCTCTCTCTCTCTCTCTCTCTCTCTCTCTCTCTATCTCTCTATCTCAGGCTAGTCCTGAACCCCCTATGTAGCCAAGGATGACCTTGAACTTGGTCCTTCTCCCACGAATCATCCTTTCTTCTATCTAGTGAGCCACGTGAACCCAGATTGCTAGCTCCTCTAGGTTTAGGATGAAGGGAGGAAAAAGTTCAGAGAAAAGGCTGAGTAGGAGCAGAAAGGGGGTGGAGGGGGTCCTGTCTAGTCATTTTATTTTACTGTAATCTCTGACATGTTCGGATCCCCCCAACAGCTTTCTGAGGCATTCTTCCAGACCGACCTCCACCCACTGTGAGAGTAGACTTCAGTACACCTAAATCTGTGCCACTGTGCCCTCGGTTTCACGGCCTCCTCCCCAAGTTTCCCGTGCTCTGCACCCTGTCCATCCTAAGGAACCACTAATCAATTTCTGTCTCTAGATTTACCTTTTCTAGGCAGTTCCTATAAATAGAATTATGCCACAGATGGTTTTTGGTGACCGGCTTCTCCCATGGAGCATGCTGTTTTGAGATTCAGTCTTGCTTTCTTTTTATTACTAACATTTTCCATTAGATGAGTGGTCCGTGGTTTATTTATTTTCCTCACTTGTTTTGTTTGAGACGGGGTCTTGCTGTGTCACCCCAGCTAGCTTCAAACTTGAAGCCCTGCTACCCCAGCTTGCCCAGCTTCAGGAGCCTTTAAAAGAAAATATTGGTTTTATATTAAATATGTATGTGCATGTGTTTGTGCAGAGGTATGTGCATGTAGGTGCCTGAAGAGACCATAAAAGGGAGGTGGGTCCCTGGAGCTGCACTTACGGGCAGTTGTAAGCTACCCAGTGTGGTGCTGGGAACACACTTGGGTCCTCTGCAGCATCAGACACACTGTTAATCTCTGAGCCATCTCTGGAATGCCAGCTCCTTAGAAAATACTGCAAATGTGTGCCTAAGATTTCTTGGGCATTTGATGATCTCATATTGCCGTGTGTGTGTGTGTGTGTGTGTGTGTGTGTGTGTGTGTGTGTGTGTGTGTGTGAGAGAGAGAGAGAGAGAGAGAGAGAGAGAGAGAGAGAGAGAGAGAGAGAGGCAGTAAGTAATCTGAAAAGTATTTTGCAGCTCTTTCTCTACATTGTACCTTGAATATATATTAAATGCAAAGGTGTTTTTAATATACCACATATTTAAAATGCTTCTTTTTGGTTTTTAGTTCCCAAGAACATACTCACAGCGGTTGATCCATCCATTGCTAATTTAAACCCTTCTCTGAAGAAAGATGATGAATACGGTAATTTTTATGGCTTACTCCCAGCATTTCCTTCGAAGTGAAGTTAACCAGCCCCTGAGCACAGTCAGGCGCACAGGGCTGGAGTGTAAGGGCCGGAGGTGTCCGGCTGCTCCGCTGATACCAACAGGGCGTGGCCGACACTTACACACAGCAGCCAGCATGTGGCTTCAAAAAAGAATAGAAATCACAAGGAGAATAGGTTTACCCCATTCTCTTCCGTTCCCCTTCTTCTTCCTAAAAGACAATAATAATAAAACCACTTGGAACAGCACATTTTCTCAGAAACAACCTGGGTTCTTGGTGATATAGGAGCTTGTGGCAAAGCTGGGGACCAGAGCCAACTGACCTTGCCAGCCCCTCAAGGTCACTTTCTCCCTCTACTTCCCACCTAACTTATATAAATAGGGACGTAGATACTTTGATTTTACTTTTTAACATTTATTATTTGTGGGTGTGTGTATGTAAGTGGGTATGGAAGCGAGGACGGGGACCAGAGAGTAACTTACAGGAGTCCGTTCTCTCCTTCCACTCGGTGAGTCCTGGGGGGTGAACTCACACCATCAGGCTGTTTTAACAGCAAGTACTTTTATCCTTTTGTTTGGTTGGTTGGTTTTGGTTTTTCGAGACAGGGTTTCTCTGTGTAGCCTTGGCTTTCTGGGAACTTGCTCTGTAGACCAGGTTGGCCTTGAACTTATCTGAAATGTTTTTTGTTAATGACATCTAGAACAAATTTAGCCTGCTGAGTTCCTGACAGAAACTGTGCAGATCCCATAGAATACAAAAGATGCTAATTTTGGGTAGCAAGGGTTTTGTTTTGTGTTATTTTATTTTACTTATTATGCCTGTCCCCAGTTATGAAAGTAAAGTATAGGTGTCCATCTGTGTCTTAGAGGTAGATTCTAGAACTTTCCATACATGCTCAAACCAGCAGGTGTTCAAGTCCCTTAAATAAAACAGCCCAGTGTTTGCGCAGAGCCCACACAACCCTCCTGTAGGCTTGAATCTCTAGGTGCTTACAGTCCTTATCACAATGCCAACACCATGTTGTGCTGTATGGTTTAAGAAATACTGAAAAGAGCCGGGCGGTGGTGGCGCACGCCTTTAATCCCAGCACTCGGGAGGCAGAGGCAGGCGGATCTCTGTGAGTTCGAGGCCAGCTTGGTCTCCAAAGCGAGTACCAGGAAAGGCGCAAAGCTACACAGAGAAACCCTGTCTCGAAAAACCAAAAAAAAAAAAAAAAAAGAAATACTGAAAAGAAAGAAATCTGTACACGTTCACATTTCTCCCGAGTATCTTTTTCTCTGTCTGTGGTTGAATTCCTGGCCAGGGCCCTCTCTGACACAGGGGACTGACTCTGGGCTTTGCTTCCACATCTGCTTCCTGCTACAGAAAACACAACGCCAAGGCACAGAAACCACCCTTAGCCCAAAGCTAGAGGTGAAGACTGGAAACACCTTCCACATTCTGGTTCACGGCACCCTGTCTACCAGGCTCTGTATCTCAGCTCCCTTCCCTTTCTCACATGACTCCCACCGGATCCTGAAGGATCCCCATCCCTCTTCAGTGCAGCCCCAAGAGCTACGTCTTTCTTAGAGGCATCTGCCTTGTGTGATATTCCCAGGGCTCTCATCAGCACTTGCTAAGTGTCCATCCAGGCAGTTCCCTCGAATCCAAAAGGAGGCCAGCCACGTGTGTGTGTGTGTGTGTGTGTGTGTGTGTGTGTGTGTGTGTGTGTGTGTGTGTGTGTCTGTCTGTGTGTGTGTGTCTGTGTGTGTGTGTGTGTGTGTGTGTGTGTGTGTGTGTGAGAGAGAGAGAGAGACACACACATCAAACAATCCACGCCTCCCTCCATAACTTAAGGGTTGTCATATCTCTGGTCCACAGAGCAGACAGCTGTTCCAGGGTAAGATGAGACATTATTTACTCAGCCTCCTAAAGGCTTGATGGATGCCTTTGCCTTTCTCACGGAATATTGTGTTCTGTTCTGGAGCAGGGTACATGAGCTGTACCTCAAGTTGGAATTAGCACTTTGAAGTGTTTTGAATTCCTTTCATCATTTGACGTTTTCAAAGATGACTTTGGCATTAGCTGCTTTTCTCATTACTGGACAAAACACCCAAGAAAAGTGACGTCAGAAAGGAGGGCTTGATGTCGGCTCATGGTTCAGGAGCAGATGCAGTCCATCATGGCAGCAGGATAGGGGGGCAGTCAAGAGCTAGAGGACAGTTAGAAGCAGGGCCAGGTTATAAACCTCAAGGCCCACCTCCATGACCCACTTCCTCCAGTGATGATCCATCTTCTAAAGGTTCCACGGCCTCCCAAACAGCATTGTCAGCCGGGGACCAAGTCTTCAGCACATGAGCTCATGGGGCCATTTCACAGCCAGGCCTCAGCACTAAGGGTTCTGAATCTTCCACAGTTTAGTCAGAAGCCCAGTGGTTTGTTGTCTGTGAGTGGCAGGTGCAGGTGAAGGTCAACAGGGCTTTCAGAACAGCTGCACCCTGAACAGCTGTGGCCTTCGCATGTTGCAGGTATAAAATTGGACCCCAGCGGATCGAGGGTTGTGCGGAAAGATGGTGTTATCGTCAGCAACTCCCTGGCTGCGTTTGCTTACATTCGAGGTAGGTGAATGAAGGGGAGCTTCTGGGGGTGCAGGTGGGTTTCTCACTGCCTCACCGACAAACGCTCTGATAGCTAAAGGAAAGATGCCTCCAGTTGTACACGCAGCGTCGTGATGTTCAGAAGCACAGGGCTGGGAGTCAAACACAGTTGCAGCCACAACCAAGGGACCTGCAAGAATAAAGCTGAGCTGCTGAGGGTTTGGTTCCAAAGGAATTTCCCCCTGGAAAAGCAGAAATGGGTTCCCCAGATCTAAAAATTAGGATTGTTGAATTCCCCTCACAAATGGAAGAAAAACAAGGCTGATCACGTAAGAAGCAAAACAGGTCCTGCCATGGGATGACACAGCCATCTCAGGAGGCCTGAGAACCACTGTGGTTGCCAAGGTTTCCTTGTTCACCTCCCCAGGGCTGAAGGCTTGCACCAGGCCTGGCCATGTGCAGCCCTCTCTCAGGAGGAGTGCACACTCCTTGCTCCCTTCCTGCTTGTCCTAGGACAGATTGTATCTTGGAATGTGGACTGTAAGTTTCAACACTGGCTTCCTGCTCATTGAAGGCTCTGTCATTCAGCTTACACTTAATACAAGACCCAGGACTCTTGAAGTAAAAACAGGTATATTTTGGCTCATGGTCTGGAAATCAAGTTCAAGATCCAGTGGCTCCATGAGTTTGGGCTGTGGTGAGGGTGGGGCATCGTGAGTGATCACACTTTGAACTAGAGAGGGAGAGAAAGGGACAAAGCAAGGCCCTACCATCCCCTTTGATGGTGCAGGCCTGGTGACCTAATAATTTTACCACTCAGTGTTCCTCCCGGGAGCTTGCCACGTGCTGCAGGGTTATTGGCCTCTTTTTTTTCTTACAACTTCTCTCCTATGTTCTTGCTGCTCCTGATGACTGTCAAAGTTAAGTGTGAAAATTTGGAAGGATGTCCACAGTTTCAAAGTCCCTTCAGGTGAAGGATAATGATGAGGAGAAGCAGGGACGCTGCTGGCTGAGGTGTAGCCACGCTGGGCCCCATCCTTTCTCAGACACCTTGGCCTTCTTAGCCGCCATAACAAATCACTGTAGACTGGAGCTTAAGGAGCACTTTCTGTGGGAGGCTGGAAGTCCATGATTAAGAGCCTCCTTCTGGCTTTAGACAGCCACCTGCCTGCTGCATCCTCCTATGTGTGTGGGGGGTTGGGTGGGGGTGGAGCAGAGGTGTGGGGGGGAGACAAAAGAGACAGGGGAAGAGGAGAGTGTGAACTTTTCTAAAACCACCTATCAGACAAGGACCCGCTGGTGAACTCTGTTAACCGTAATTAGCTCCAGAAAGTTCCATCTACAAAGTCATATTAGGGGTTAGGACATAAGCATGAGCTTGGGGGAATGATAAGCCCAGAGCAGCAACTCTGAGGGTTGAGGCTCTGATACTGAATTCCGCACTTAAAGGAGCCAAGGGTCAGAGGAGCGGGACCATTTGCCAAGGGCACCATGGACAGCGGCTGGGTCCAGCCTCACGCTTGGTGAAGGGCAAGGCTGTCAATCAGTTTCTAGGAAGAATGCTGTCTTCAGGCTTTGGAGGGCTGGAACCTCTTGACCCAGTGTTATGAAAATATCCTTTCCTCTGACATCTCATGAGCGTATCCTGCTATGTGTCTGGATGATGTGTTTGCCTGTCTAAGGACAGATGACTGTCATCTTGTTTATCTGTCGTATCTCCATGTCTAGGACAGTTCTGGGGTAGACCAGGACACAGTGAGTAGTTAACAAATGGCTAAATAATGAATCCCAAGTTGATGTTATATCTGCCTTATACTCTTTTATCATCTGTAGTTTACAAATTGTATCTGTGGATCTGAAAAGATGGCTCGGTGGTTAAGAGTACTTGCTGCTCTTGCAGAGGACCCGAGTTCAGTTCCCAGCATCCATGTCAGGAGGCTTACTGTTGCCTGGAATTCTAGTTCAGGGGACCTGGCACCTTCCTTTAGCCTCTGTGGATTTCTATATACATATGGTGTACAGTCACATGAATACACACACACACACACACACACACACACACACACACACACACACACACACACGTAAAACGTGTCTGAGGCTGCATGCATGCCTTGGTATGCACATGGATGTCAGAGGGCAGCTTTGTATATTTGGTTCTCTCCTACCACTGCTTACATAGGTTTTGGGGATCAAATCCAGATTGTCAGGCTTATGTGACAAAAGTCTTTATCCACCGAGCCATCTTGCTAGCTGTCTACGACCCAGAATGATGCTCCATCGTTTTAGCGTAAGGGCTGGATGGGATGTTGTTTGATTTTATTGAGAGATGTTTCCAAATGTTCACCTCAGTAAGTCATGGCCGAGGCTAGGTGTGGGTCTGGAAAGCCTTGCTGTGGGGCTAGGATCCAAAGGCTGCACACAGGCTCCTGGCACTATTTGATGGTGAGGCCACTGGCTAAAACAGCTGGGGACCCACAGCTTGAGCAAGGAATCCCGTAAACTGAGGAAGAACAAAAGGACATTCCCTAGCCAGGCCACCAGTTTCTTTGACGTAAGAAAGCAGGGAAATAGATGGGAGACAAGCAGACAGGCCACCAAAACCAAGGGGCTTGTCCTGGGCAGGGAAAGATGGAGGTCGGTGGAAGGGAAATGAAAACGTTCAAAGGTCTCTGCTAAACGATGTCTCCTCTGGTCACTTACATGATCTGCACAAGCATTTCTTATAGAAAAGGGAAGTGTGCATGTGTGTGTGTGTGTGATATGTGTTATATATGTGTATTTGTGGTATGTTTGATGTGTGTCTGTGATATATGCAGTAAGTGTGATGGGTGCTGTGTATGGTATATATTATATGTATGTATGTATATATGGTGAACGTACACTTGTGTGTTGCATTTGTGGTGTGTGGTGGGGTGGTATACATGTATGGTGTATGGTATGTATGTAGGAGAGGCTGGTGGTACTTGTTTATGATATGGGGGACTTCGGGTGGGGGATGGTAGTGTGTGTACATGTGTTTTTTTATGTATGTGTATGTTCTGAGGAATATAGTTTATTAGCTGCTTCAGCATTGTCCATTACCATTGTCCCCTAGCTGAGGGACTTATTTAGTCTTGCTCTCTAAATTAATTAATAAATTAATGACCCTTCCAGACCACCAAATTAGTGTCTTATTGGCATCTGGCTTTGTGTGTTTACCTCATCTGTGCCCACAGGCCTGCCTTTTGTGACTCAATATTCAGTCACTGTCCTTACTGTTTGGGATTGTGGGGTGTGTGTGTGTGTGTGTGTGTGTGTGTGTGTGTGTGTGTGTGTATGGTGTGTTCAGCCTCAGGCAAACTTCCTGAGAACTTTGGGGGTGTTTGGGGATCTGGGACCACAGCCAGAGCAGCCTTGTTGGTTCTAAGAAAGGAATTCTAGGACATCAGAGGAGCTATGTGAAGGAGAGATTTCATCACACACCCCAAAGTTAGTCACATGACCCCTTTGGGGATATGATCAGAGAGCCACACAGGTCTGTCACATGGGTGTGGGCTCTGAAGTGTTCCCTGGGTCTCCAACTCTGGCAGAAAGTCTTGTCACATCCCTAAGTGCTGTCAGACCAGTCTTCAAACACTTTTTGTTTCTTCCTCCTGGAGGACTCTGGCTACAATCCCACAAGAGATGGACCCTTGCTTGGTGGCTTCTGGTGGCTTATCTGGTGTGACTAAATTTGAGATGGAGGGTTGTGTTGGCCCCAGACCAATATCTGAAGAGCAAATGGGGCCCTGGCACCCATTCTGAGGCTCCTGGGACCATTCCCTCTAGCCTGTCGTGAACTGGGGCTAAATTTAGAATACCAACAAAAACACTGTGAAGATTCTATTCAACCACAACAAAAAGAAAGCCCCATTTTCCCAAAAGAGATGATAGAAGGGGTCACAACTCTGAAGTGGTCCAGTTGGTTCTAGAAGATGGGGGAAAAGCTTTCTGTGGAAAGTCTGGGGCAGTGGGCAGAGCCCTGGTCTAAGGCCAGGTCCCAGTAAATAGCGGCTTTGGAAAGTGACTAGGCTACAACCTCAGGGGTTAGTTAGGCCAGCTCATCTCTAACGTGTCATCTGCCTATAGTCTGGTGACCGTAGGACAATCACTTCATATGGATAGGAAGTTTCATTCCCACGGGACTCATCTACCCCATGCTTGGCCACTGGATCTCAGTGACATGGATGTGAACTCCCCCATAGAGTGAGTGATCCCATGGTAAGAAAAACTCCTGAATCCCAGAAGTAGAACCCAGACCCTGCCACCTGGAGAGGAAGGAGGTAGGAGATGCTGATTTTGTGGTAGCATGTGATGTGCCCTAAAGATTGACTCACTTAATTTGATTAATCAAAATTCCTTAAAAATGGGGCTAGGGTATGGCTCAGTGGTAGAGCACCAGCCCCACATGTGTGGTGTCCTAAAGTTCAGACTTCAGAACAGAAAAAAAAATCATTAAGAACAACTAAAGAGGTACAGTAACAGATCCATTTTGTGGCAGAGCAAGACCTTGACCTGAGCCCATGGAGCCTGAGATCTGGTCCACCACTACACCTTGGACAGGATGGGAGGGGACTCGGAGTGACCTTTCTTCCTCAGAAACGCGACATAAGAGCGAGTTTCTGCCTGGAGCTGCCTCTGTCCCACCCATGAGTGGCTAGAAAATGAGTTAAGGCGCTGCCCTCTTAAAACCTCACACGCTTTATCAATTCCAACACATAAAACGGGGAGGGACACTCACGCTGCATCTGAACCCTGTCAGAAGGCGAGCGTGATGTGGGGGGAGGCGGAGCAGGCTTTGATCTGCCGGGGAGCAGGAGCGAAGGTCTGACCTGATGCCCTGGTCTTGGCATCTTTTGTGTATTACTGTTTAGTGACTTCGTTACAAGTGTCAGTGTCTCCAGATCACTCC